CAGTCAACCAATCTCAATCAAAGTCCCAGTAGGTTTCTTTATTTTAAGAAATAAATTGACCAGTGATTTGTAACTAAAATAAACTTCAACCCCTACCTCATATCATATTCAAAAATTAATTCAAAATGAACAGAGACATAAATATGTAAGCTAACACTATAAAACCTATAAAAGAAAACCTTTGTGAATTTGGGTTAGGGAAAGATTCCTTACACAAAGGGTACTAAGTATAAAGAAAAACTGATCAATGAAATCTATCAACATTAAGTCTTCTACACTTCAAAAGACATTTCTATAAAAGTAAACCACAGACTGGAAAAAATATTTTGTAGTACATATATCTGAAAAAGAACTTATACCTAGACTATATAAAAAACTGTCATAATTTAGTAAGAAAACAACCTAATTTTTTAAATGGCAAAAAAAATTGACTAAACACTTCATAAAAGATGTATGAGTGATCAATAAGCACATGTAATTACATCCAACATCCTTAGTCATTATATATGCAAATTAAAATCATGGTGAGATAGAGAATGTATGATTCCATTTTATGATATTCTAGAAAAGGAAAAACTATTTGGACAGAAAACAGACCAGGGGTTTGCAAGGACACTGGGGAGGAATTAAATAAAAAGGGGTATAAAGTAAGTTCTCGGAGTGATGGACTGACATGGTGATTATCCAACTGTACGCATCTGTAAAAACTCTAAAATGTACAGTTTTTATTTAAGTAAATTATACTTCATTTTTTTTAAATCTTAAAAAAAACCCTACAGTATGTACAATAAAACAAATCAATTCCACAAATATAATATTAGCAAATGAAGCAAAACATAGTGTTTAAGGATAAATGCTTAGGGGATAAAACTAAAATGAAGAACAAGAAAGTAAATCCCATAAAGTCGAGCTAGTGCTTAACTTTGAGGGGGAGCTGAATAGGTAGAGACAAGGAAAAGGCCTAAGGGATACAGGAACTTTCCACTTTTTGACATTCTTCCATTTGTTTTCCTGGCGGTTACATGAACATTTGCTTTATATAACTCCTTTACTTTTATTTGTATCCTTTACATATTGTATTCTTTTAATGCAGCTTATATTTGATATAATATAAACTTTTTTTTTCTTTTAGCCATACTGAAGTTTGCACTCGGGGCATCAGCTAGTTAGGCAGTGTACCACTTGAGCCAAGTCCTCAGCCCAAGAAATGGTTAATTTTAAAAGAAAACAAGACAAGTAGCTCAGTGTAAATCATGAAAGCATAAAAGAAGAATATATCTTTTTTTTCTAGGAGTCTGACATATCTCTGGATTTGTATTCTGGCTATACAATTTATTAGGTATGTGACCTTAGACAGGATCCTTAATCTTTCTGGGTGCGTATATCTACAAAATGGAGAAATTACACCTGCTTCATGAAGTTATCTTGAGAATTAAATGAGACAATGCAAATATTCTTCAAGGCATCTGCCTAGCTCCTAAGTTCCTTTTTGGGGTTCACATTATCCACATGAGGTAGATCCCGGGCAGCAAACAATTTTGTGGTATATGACCCTTACTACTGGTTGGACCAGAGGTGGGCACATGCCTAAGCTGAAATATAGACTGGGGAATGTCTGAGGATATAAATCTTCAGAACACTATCAAAGATCTAAAAAAATCAAGAAAACAATCCCACTTACAGTAGTAACAAAAAAATGAATAAAGGAAAACACTTAGAAATAAATTTAACCAAGGAAGTGAAATATCTGTACACTGAAAACTATAAAACACTGATTAAAGAAATTGAAGAAGTCATATATAAATGGAAAGAAATTCCATGTTCATGGATTTAAAGAACCCTGTTAAATTGTCTGTATTACCTAAAGCAATCTACAGATTCAATGCAATCTGTATCAAAATCCAAGCACATTTTTCCAGAAATAGAAAAATCAATCCTAAAATTTGAACAGAACCAAAAAAGACCCCAAATAACCAAGCACTCTTAACAAAAAGAACAAAGCTGGAGGCGTCACACTGTCTGGTTTCAAAATACACTAAAAGGCTATAGTAATCAAAATAGCATGGTACTGACAAAACTTTAGAAACAAATAAACCACACACCTACATTCAACTGATCTTTGACAAAGATGCCAATAATATGTAGGGGAAAAGACAGTCTCTTTATTCAGTAGTAGTGGGAAAAAGAATATTCACATGTAGATGAACTGAACCTTTGCCTCCCTCCAAATATAAAAATCAACTTCTAAAAGATTAAAAAACTTAAAGGTAAGACCTAAAACTACAGGGCAGGGGCGGGTTCAGTGGTAGAGTACTTGCCTAGCAAGTGCAAGACCCTGGGTTCCAACCCCAGCACTATACCCAAAAAAATTAGTAATAAAAATAAATTGCATTAAACTGACCTAAAACTACTTGGGGGAAAAAAAACCAATATAGTGGTCTTGCCAATGATTTCTTAGATAAGCCCAAAACACAGGCAACAAAATAAAAAATAAATGAGCTGCATCACACCTGTTAGAATGACTACTGTCAAAAGACAAATGATAACAAGCATGATCTTGCCAAGGATGTGGAAAAAGAGAACCCTTGTATACTGTTAGTGGGAATGTAATTAGTACGCTGTTATAGAAAAGTGTGAAGGTGCTTCAAAAAAATAAAAACACAACTACCACATAATCTGCTGTTCCCACTTCTAGGCTACATATTCAAAGGAAATGAAATAAGTGTGTCACAGAGTTATCTGCACTTCTGTGATCATTGTAGCGTAGGACTTACCCTTACTTAATAAGCCTAAGTTTCAGAAAACACAAAAAAAACCTTATTTCATATAGCTACTCCAGGCAGTTTTGTGTACTAAAGATCCCCACTATTTCAGTCTAGTGTATACTAGACTAATACACAAAGTATTTTAAAAAGCCAGTCTGGGGGCTGGGACATGGCTCAAGTGGTAGAGTACCTGCCTAGCAATCACAGGCTCTGAGTTCAAACCCCGGTACCAACACCAAAAAATTAATTAATTAATTAATTAAAAGCCAATATGAACAAATGGACTGCATTGTTTCCTTAATAAATATAGAACTATATCTAAAACTGTTCACTATCAAGTTTAATAACACTGTTGATATTTTTTACCCAAGATGTGAAAAAGTACATATACATTCTAACCTATAATTTTCTTAATAACTTTTTTGCAATATCTGATCTTTGGTGAAAACACTTTTCTCTAAATAAACTTTCAATTACTATTCGTATTTACATGTAAATAGTATCCACATACAATGAAATAATGTTTGTAGCATCCATGTGGAAATTCCTAAAGCACAACAGTAACTTTATTCTCATAAATTAACTGAACAAAGTAGACCAGCAATTCTTTTCTAAAGAAATGGAAGGTTGGTGGCATGGTTCAAGTGGTACAGTGTCTGCCCAGGAAGCATGAAGCCCTAAGTTCACACCCCAATATCATCAGAGAGAGAGAGAGAGAGAGAGAGAGAGAGAGAAGGAGGAGGAGGAGGAGGAGGAGAGGAGAGGAGGAAAGAAGGAGGAAGAGAGACATGGGGTCACACTGTGTTGTCCATACTGATCCCTAACTCCTGGGCTCAAGCAATCTGACTGAGCCTCCCCAGTAGCTAGGACCACAGGCACACACCACTACACGTGCCCACGTTACACCAGTAATTATGAAACCTGTGAAGAGCAACATCCTAAATAAAATTTATTCACACTAGAGGGTGCTCTAACTCAACAGGGCTTGGGAGCTGGTTTTAAAACTTCATTTTCTCCTCAAAGATAAATTAAGACAATCTTCAGCACTAACAATTTTTGCTTTTGAACTAATACATAGAGAAAAGTGAAGAGGCAAAATTCTATTCTTCCAGAACATATAACAAAACTTAGTAAAATTCCACTTAAATAATTTTTTAGTAATATATATATAGTGTGTATTGAGAAAACAAGAAGTACAGAAGTACAAAGACAGTTCTTGCCTATAAAGGAGATTAATTCAATATTCAGATGATTAAGAGAAAGTATTTATCTTTTATAGCCTTAAATTCAAGAGAAATTTGGTAAGAGAAATAACACTAATCCCAAGTATGGTTTAGCCAATGATAATTTAAAAGCTCTTATTTAAACAAGAAATAAAAGTGATTTTGCTGTATGATCTGTCATCTTAAAACTTCTTTTAAGCCACTAGCTATAAGAAATTGCAAAAGAAAAAACTGACTTTGAATTTTCAGACAGCAAATAATACCAATTCTAAATCTTCATAAGAAAAATGTTTTATGTTAGTTTTTGTAACTTATTCCTACTACCTTCATAAGTTCAAGTAGGAATCTTTGAAATTTTAAAACTATAAAATATTTATATGTTGCCATTTCATAGTCCAGAAAAGTTCTCTTGGAGTATGAGTTTCTGATAGTATCAGACAATATTAAATAATAAAGGTGGGTGGCTAACAAAATATATTGTTATGTTTTAAGAAAGTGGCTATTAACTGAGTTTTTATTTGATCCTAATAAGGTATTTCTTTTAAGGAAATTACAGAAAAAATTGAACATCATATTTCCAAAATTCACATACTCAAAGTCAATCAATTTCTCTCAACCTCTCTCACACAAACATGCATGCACACTCACTGCTCTCACATAAAAATCTACTCCTCAGGAAGTAAGTACCTGACTCGTATCTCCCCATGCCTTTCCATAATGAAGTGCCAAGAGCCCCATCACTTTGATGGCCAGTTATAGGCAAAGTTCAATGCCTTTTTAGCAAGTTGCAAACTTATGACCAACTTAAGCCTAACAATGATCTTAGGTTTCCACTAAAATTTACACCTTTTGTCCATAAATTAGAAAAGCATATGGCCTAAAGAAGGTGAAGACTGGGTACAAATGTGAAACTTCCAAACACCAACTTTCATTTCCTAAAATAGTGTTTCATAAAAATTTACAAATTGTAAGACTAGAATACTCTATTGAAATAGTAATTTAAGAGGGATACCTGCTTTCCATGATGTCTGAATTCTGCTGCAAACTAATAGTTTCTGTTGTAATTTCCACTTTCCGTACACTTCCAAAGAAATCAGTTATCAGGACATTTTTAGGATCCCTCTGAAAAAGATCAATACGATGTCCGGGAGTAGACACGCAGAGACTTTTGGGACATACCTGAAACTGAAAAAAAAAAAAAAAGTAGTAAATACACACACATATGCACAATGTAACTTTTATTAAATCCAGCAACAAAATATAATAGACTGCAATGCATTTTTAAACCTAAAGAGGCTAACAGATCTAAATATTAAATTTTCATTCCTACTGTTAATATCTGACATTCTAAGAAAAGTCTATAGACATTAGAAGAGTGAACAAAAGGAAGCTGGCCATGGAAGAAAAAAATGAACGCTCACTTCCTTGAATCACATGTTTTTTACAAAGCATATTTTGAGCCCTTAAATCCATGGAGAACTCACACTCAACATCATGAGAACAGAATTGCTTTCTCTGCATCGAGATTCGTCTCAGCAGGGTGCTCCACTGGACTGGTTTTCAAACATTTTGTGACCGTAACCCTGGATTCAAACTTTAAATTCAAATATTACTTGGTATCCCAATATGTAAAAAGGTTTAAAGTGGAGTTGCTCTAGATTGTAGGAAGGTGAAGCATAGCCTACCCACTGCATATCTCCCTTACCCTTGCTGTGGAACTATACACCACCTTATAATAATAAACTCAACTTTCTTAGCTTATCCAAGATGAAAATGAACACCCAATATCTCCACAGTCACTCTAGTGCTCCAGAGATTACAGAGAGAAAACGACATCTGCACCACTTCATAACTTTGTGTTACTCTTTATCTGATACTTCACATCAGTAAATGATCAAGGACTGACATGTAATTATCCACTGTGTACAGCCACAAGAGTGACTGCCACATAGATTCGGTTCACCTTCCATAGAGATTACCTCCCACAGAGATTGCAAAGATTGATCAAAACAAGGTCCTGTTCTTCTCAAGGCTTTAAATCTATTTAGAGATAAATAAACATAATATGATAGAAAAAAGAATAAACTTCTTATAGTTTGAGGATGAGAAAAAAGAGACTACAGGATTTAAGAAGTTTTGGGGGGTTTTGTTTTTAAAGAAAAGTGGGGTTTGTGAACAAAAAATAAGAACATACTTAATAAGGGAGCAGTTGCACTACTAGGGAGGAAGAGATTAGGAGATTGTAGGTCAAGGGCAGCCCAGGCAAAAAATTGGAAGACCAGTCTCAACCAACAAACCATGCCTATAATCCTAGTGGTAAGGAATAGGTAAAAGGATAGTAGTATGAGGCTGGCCCTGGTAAAAACACAAAATCCTACCTGAGAAATAACTAAAAAAGGGCTGGGGGATATGGCTCAAGTAGCAGAGCACCTGCCTCGCAAGAACCAGGCCTCAGTTCATACCCTAGTACCACCAACAAGATAAAAATAAAGAGCAGTTGCAGAGATATGTAAAACAAACAGCCTTGTTTGGTTGAACCATGGAATATAGAAAAATAATAATCACAGGCCCATGGCACTTCCCACCTATGAAGACAAGGTAACCATCAACAGGGAGGGAAAGAAGTAGGGAAGGAGCGTCTACAATTTATAAAACAGTGCTCCAAGCACTGTACTAAACAATTTGGAGACATTCTCAAACAGCCTACTAATGATTCTGAGTTAACCTCCATTCAAAGTAAGGCTCAAAGAGATTAAGTCATCAGCTATTCCTCCCTTCAAGAATGTTTATCAATCTGATTTCCTTAGCGTCTACAGTGATGACCCACAGATCCCATGTTGCTCAGTTGATTTTTCAATAATCTTCATTTACAGATCTCTACACTCTAGCTAGGCTATATGTTTATTATCAAAGGTAAGAATCATCTACTATCCCAACTTCTGTTCATATCAGCTATTCCATTTCCCTAAAGTGTGCTATACTTCTCTTCTTTCAAATGTGAAAATCTACCTCTTCCAAGAAAAAAAAAAACCTAATCACTAACCCTACTGTGTTAAAGGGAGATACAAAAATGTACATTGTTGTCATGGTACTTATTCACTGGATAGGAAGCACAGAATGTTGAGCAAACATCACAAATATAAACAATTACAGTACAATACTTAAAGTATAATAAAGGTACATGGCCACAGTAATACATTCACAGAGGAAAGAAAATTACCCAGGTGGTCCAAAGACCACCTATAATATCTAACAATTCATAAGTGTGCTCTTCAATAGTGACCAATGACAGTACACATTTTTAAAATGCTAGCAACTAGGTCTTTTTGCTGCTCCTAATAGGATGCCTAATATAGAACTGTGAATACAACTAATACTCAGCAAATCTCACTCTATACACATAATTCAATAGAAAACAAGTATTATTACACAAATGATCTAGAGATATGTCAAATCATCACAGCTATGGTAAACTGCAAGAAAATGGATCGTTCTTATTGAAGAAGCCATCATTGTCTTTTAAAATGGAGGTGGGCTAACAAGGTAAGATTTTAGTAAGGAATGTTTATTAAAACCTATATAACAACTATGAGTAATAAAAAACATAATTCCCTCATTCTTTCCCATAAAATTTCCCAGCACTTGAGAGGCAGAGGCAAGACGATGGTGAGTCTGAGAATGGCCTCGGTTACATAGCAAAAAAAAGAAAAAAGATGGAGTAGAGGGGAAAAGAGGAAGGAAGAAGGAAGAAGAAAGAAGGGAAAAGGAGAAGTAAAGAAGGAGGAGGAAGAGAAGAAGGGATAAAAGAAGGGAAAGAAGTGTTTGTAAATAAATGAGCAATACATAAGTTAATGGAAAAAGAGTGAGAGTTATTGATACACAGTAATTATCCAGATGAGAGTTGCTGTTTCAAGCTTCTTATTATGCATATTTTCAAGGGTAACTCCAAAGCTGATATAGTTAAAAAATACAACAAGCACAAAAAAGTCAGGAAAAAATTAAGTAAATTCAACAAGCCATGTCAAAACATTGTATTAGAAGTTGTAAGGCACATAAAAATATGTAAGATAAGGTTCCTTTCTTCCAGGAGCTTCCCATTAAATGAGAAAGACTTTAGCTCCATTAATAAGGTTGATAACAGTTTGTGGTACTTGTCATAAAAGAGAAATAAACTTCTGTGGAAGCTCTGAAAAGGTAAAATAAATACCAACAAGGAAGAATTCAGGGAAATTTCCTGGAAGGGGGGTTACAATCTGATTTGACCCTTGGAAAACAAGTAGAATTTTAAAAGGTGAATCTAAAACAAATACATTCCTAGTAGGGGAAAGAGAATGATCATATGAATGAAAACAGCAAATTGCCTCAGGAACAGCAAATTAACTGAACTAAAGCTTTGGTCTTTTGTGCTAAAGAAGGAGACACTAACATAAAGGTAGATTCAGAATCGTTTAAAAGGCAGTACAGCATGTGAAACATTGGAGTCTCGAGTCTCAGGGAGAATACTCTTCCCTTACACTTAAGATCAGCAAAACAATGTGTCATAGTCAAATCAAGAAAATACTTACAAGGTCATTCATATTAGTTTGGCTAGCTGGATTAATTTCTTCTAGAAATTCCAAGACATAAAATGTGTACCTATCCATAAGATGGACTCCAATTGCAGGATCAGGTTGATGCTATGAAAAGGAAAGAAAAAAGTACACGTCTAATAGTGCATTAAAATTAAGTGCTTAAAATATAACCAAAATTTCCCTCTAAAAAATCTAAGAATACAAAATAACAGATGCATTGTAAAGCATATAAGTGATTTCAGAAACAACTACACATTCCAAAGATACTGAAGTTTACAAACTGGGCAAATGCACCTACCGACAGTGAATCTTCTCCCACTTGGCTGCTAGCTAGAGCCATTATGTTAGGAGAATAAAACCGCTCATACATGGATGCTCCTTGGCAAGTATCAATAATAAACAGTAGCTCATTATAGCTGAAAGAAAAGTGATATATCTTTGATGTGAATCATGCTGTTAATCATACACTGCTTAATATTTCTACAACATAACATGTTTAAGTCCTATCTTAGCCATCTCATTAACTAAAGTTAAGGTAATAATCCTGTCCAGGGAAACCACCCCAACAGAGAGTGGTGACTGTGTTACAAACAAGGTGCCTCAACTTTTTCTTCTCCCTTGTCTATGCCGTATGATTTAGAATTCAAAAATATATTCAGCAATCATTTATTTGACACCCATGTTGTCCAAGAAACTGAGCTATGTTCAGGAAAAACATATGTATGTTACACATGTATATGGTAATATGTGCCATATATTATATATTTTATATATATAATGTATATTATGTACATTATATACATTATATATAAATAATATATTACATACATTATATACATTGTATTATATTATATTAATATATATATATATATATATATAAAACTTAGTAGAAGGCAAACAAATACATAACTAAATAGAAATGAGATAAGTATTATAAACATGTACTGAAAGCCAGGAATGGTGGTGCACACCTGCAATCCCAGCTACTCAGGAGTCTAAGGGAGGAGGATCATACGCTTGAGGCCAGCCTGAGCTACTCTGTCTCAAAAAAAATAAACAACAAATATACATATATAAAAATATAACATCTATTTCCATGTATTTTACATATTTAATATTGTTTAATATTTTATATGTATGTGTACATACAGAGAGACAGACAGACACAGAAAGAGATAGTGTACAATGTACATGACACCATTCTGGAGATACAAAAATTCCTGCCTTCGTAGAACTTAGTATCTAACAAAATCAAAGTGTTCTATGAGCACTGAGAGAGGTTAGGGGGAACTGCGAAGAGAAGCAGGTGAGGGAAAGGTGGCATCAGATATGGGCATTAAAGGTGACTATCATTTTTATCTAGTAGAGAAAGAAAGAATATATTCCAGCAAAGGAAAAAAGCACCCAATGTGAAAAAGTGTAACAGTCTAGGAATGGGGAACAACTGTAGGTAGCTAGACATTAGAGCAAACTTGGGGGAATGGAGGAAATTCATTCCAAAAAGGTAGAGTAGAGTCAATTTGTAAAGACTCCACATATAGTCTGGATCCTATAAGTTTGAGGAAGCCACAAAAGTGTGGGGAGGTGCTTTTAATTTTTCAGTGAAAGAATAGCAATGAGATCTCAATTTTATGGTAAGATGGCTAGGTGGTAAAAGTAAAAGTAGGAAGGAGACAGGTTTTCTGGGAGGTTTTCCTCAGACACTGGGACACTTTCCTAGGAAAGGAAACATAGAATCTTGAACCACAATATTCTAGAGAGTGGCACAAGGCACAACAAATATGATGCATTTATTCTGAGACAAAATTTGTGCAGGAACTTAAGGACCAGAAATGTCTCAAGTTATGAAAACCAGGATAGTCAAACAATTAAGAGCAAGTGCTGGGATCTGACCGTCAGCCTAAATCCTAGCTCTGGCACTGTGCAAAGTTTGGCAAGGTACTTTCTGCCTCAGTTTGCTCATTTATAAAAATGGAAAAAATAATATCTCCCTCACAGAGTTTCTACTAAAATTAAATGAGATAATACATGTACAACACAGTGATCAGAACTTAATATACATTCAAGAAATACAAGCTATAAATAAGACATAACCAGTACCCAATAAAAGTTTCCTCCTCAACACTTCCACATTCTGCATATAATATTTATTTTATGGCATAGTCGTGTACATATTTATTTCTCTTTCCCACTAGGTTTAAAACACTTCCAAGGCAGAATAAGCATTATATTCCCTTGTGAGCCATATATACACAAGGTAACCCAGAAGTATTTACTGAAGGTAAATAAGTTAAATGAAATTCTATTGCTTTAAATTCATTTAAGTTCATATATCTAATAGCTTTGAACTAAAGGAATCCTTACTTAAAATTACTAACACAATATCATCCTTAGTTAAGTGAAGTTGCAAATTTTATGCTAACCATAATTTCAGCAATCCCACTCCCAAGGAATAAATAAGATACTGCTGTCAAACTGGGACCCACAGAGTGTGCTAGAAAGTAAGACTAGGTATAAGTTGAAGAATAAATAGATATTCAGAATCTCTCTTCAAACAGCAGGTAATTTGGCTGGAGGGATTTTTATTTCCTCCAAAAAAGATGTTAATGAACAAGAGATGTGATCCTACAAGTCAACTTTTTTTCATGTTATTTAAATAACTCTGAATTTTTCTCTTAAAATATTCAGTTCAATGGAAATAATAAAAATAAATTTAAAAGGGTGGAAAAATGATTAAAACAAGTTAAAATCTTATAAAATAAGAACTACAAATCTATCATGGAAAATTTATATTTATTTTATGAAAAGAAGTCATTTGCTAATTACCGTCTTTTCTGCCACATTTGTTCAAAAGCATCTGCAAGTTCTATGTTGGTAATTTCTTCAGAATCTTGGAATTTCAAGAAACCATTTCCCCCATGACCTTGTAGGAAGAGCCAAAAAGATTAAATAGATATACTTTTAATGCAAACTGAATACATCCAAATATATATACTTACTTTACTCATTGCAATATTTTAATGTCACTTGTTTTTTATACTCTAAAATACTGACTGTGAAAACAAATTTCTATCACATCTATTAAAAAAGAATAATTGTGTGAAAAATAGCAGATAAAATATCTTTAAGAGTTTTTCTATCATTCTATTCTAGAAACCCACATTTACGCTCTTCCACTGGCTCCATTATTGTATCAGAAATTTATTCTGCCTATAAAAATTTTTCAAATGCCAAACAAACATTCTGATGAGGAAGGAGCTGAAAACACTAACTGATCCTGTGGTACACTAGCTCCTATCCAGTGTAAACCTAGGATGCTATTACTGCTAGAAGTGTAGGTCTCACCTACAAACTGGTATTTTTACCACTAACTACTGACCACTAACCACAGTTCCATTAGATCTGGTCAGAAGATTTTTGACATGTATTTAGCATGCATGAAAGAGCCCATCTGCCTGGATTCGAGCACTAGCTGCATCACTTACTGACTGTAATTTTAAGCAAATAACTTAATCTATCCCTCATTCTCCTTAGCCATAAAGTGAGAAACCTATCAGCAAAACCATAACTAGCTTGCATATGTTGCACCTTTGTGAGTTTTAAAAGGTACTTTCTACTGGGCAACATTAGAAGTGTCTTCCTCTGGATACATGCAGCCCTATGAGATCACAAATGGTTAGTGACTATGTTTATGTGAGAAAAAGATAGTCCTCTTGCTCATTTTAAACAACCCTGTAAGCAGGGCACACAGTTTAGCAAGTTTAAACAAACACCAGATTACAGCTTTCATTATAATCCTTAGTCAGATGCTTGTATGCAGTGAGTAATCCACACAACCATAAACGACAGCACTAGATATTGGCACCTAAGCCATCAGGCTGGTATGAGGATGAATCAGTTAAAATACACAAGAATTTAAAATACTACTTTAGTAACTGTTAGCTATTGTCATTTTTACTATCATATTATTATAATTATCAGCCTGTCTACTCTCATAGAGGTTGGCAACCTTTTTCCGAAGAGGATCAAACAGCAAATGTTTTAGGCTTATAAGCCATGTGGTTCTGCCACTGTAGTATGAAAGCATCCGTAGCCATACACAATGTGTAAACAAATGGATGAAAGTTTGTCCTAAACAACAACAAAAAAAATCTTTATTTCCAAAACAGGCAACCAGTTTGTGGCAATCATCTATCAAACCTATCTTACTAATAGAATTTCTTCCATGCCTAGTTATTCTGAAGAAATACAGACACACATAGAAAAGGAAATGTATAATGTAATCCTTCAGTTTTGTACATCAACTAAAGCTGTATTATTTTCTTTGCCAAAAAAAAAAGCGTGAGATTTTCTTATAATACTCAAATAAGGTAAAATGAAGATTTCCCTAACTTCGTTAAGTCTGTTGAGTTAATTTATAAAGTTTGTAAATTGAGAGAAGTTTAAAAGTTGTAAGTAAATGTGACATCACAAAAAAAAAAGCTGCTTAGCAGGGGTATTAACTGTCCTAGAAAACATTTTGTAACTATTTTATTAACAATTAAAAAGCCCTTTGAAAATTATGTTGAGCATCTTTTTTTTTTTTCATTTTTCTTTTATTATTCATATGTGCATACAAGGCTTGGTTCATTTCTCCCCCCTGCCCCCACCCCCTCCCTTACCACCCACTCCACCCCCTCCCTCTCCCCCCCCTCAATACCCAGCAGAAACTATTTTGCCCTTATTTCTAATTTTGTTGTAGAGAGAGTAGAAGCAATAATAGGAAGGAACAAGGGTTTTTGCTGGTTGAGATAAGGATA